ACAAGAAGAAAAAGCAATCAACACCTCTAAGTCAGGACAGAGCCATGAAATATGTTTTTTTTTACTACCATATATCACTATTTTTTATTTTCTTTTTCAATTATATACCTATAAAATTTTCACTTTGTCCCTTTAAAATTACAAATATATATATATACTAAATTCTTTTTGCCTTCTTCCACAACTTTTTGAATCCTGCTCAAAGTCGTCCCTCATGCATAATATACGCCCCCGGGGGGGGGGGTGGGTTATAACAGGCGCTTTTTTTTTTTTTTTTTTTGGGTAATTAAAAATTTTGTTGGCAAAATGAAGCTTCTAGAATAGTTGGTACTGAATATATAAAGAAGTCACAATAGCTATATAGTCGTGGTTTTTATTTCGGAGCATCTTGAACCTTATAAATAAATAAATTTTAACTAGCATAAGAACTTTAAGTTAAATAAAAAAAAATTAAAAAACTATTCATTTCAAAAGAAAATTTGAAATATGGTACTTATTATTAGGTCCCAATCGTGAGAATTAACTGTTGTTTTAATTACGAGTACTAACTATGTCCTAATCCACCCAATAAGATAATTAAAATAAATCTATCCGTGGACGTTAAGGTTCTCTTATTCCAAAAAATAATAATAATAATAACAAAATATATGTAAAGAATCTATCGAAGGCGTTTTTACTTTGCAAAGTGTAAGATGGATGGTTGAAGTGCTCACAAGGGCCATGAATATATAAGAATTAGATAAAATTCCTAATAAAAAAGGCTTATGATCTAGGGATATTTTCTCTTTTTTTAAAATAAAAGGTAGAGGTGTTTGAATTCGGTTCAGCCATCGACCCACTTCAGGGTTGGCAAGGTCGGCCCCCTTTGATCACGGGCTTAAGTAAGGGCATGTCACACTGTGGTCGATTCGGTGATTTTGCATCTGTCTAGATAAAGCCTGCCCTGGTCACTACGAAGCAAGTTTTAGGACAAAGAAAAAAGAAATCCCTAAAGCACATATACAAAAGGAAAAAAAATTGATGCAATGTTATGCAAATAATATATGTACATGTGCATATGTATTTGTATATATGTGGGATCCAAGAAAATAGAGATAAATACATTTATAAAAATAATGTTTATGTATTTAAATTTGGGTTTATGAGTTATATATATAATAGAGAGAGATATTTTTGGGTGTAGTTGAGTAAAAATGTGGTCTGAGACTAACAATTTTGCGAATCACGAATAGAATTTTGTAAAAATTCAAAAAAATATATATGTACGAAATAAGGAAAAAAAAAAAAAAAAATCAGGGGAGGGAATACACTTGCTAGCTCCGGCCTTGGTTACAACAGGCACACAAATATGACGTATTTGGCAATTAGTTTAAGTAGGAAGTTTTTATCGAGGTTAAAATTTTGGAGTGAAGAAAATGGTGAATTAGAAGAAAAAAGAGAATTTGAAGCGAAGAAAATGGTGAATTAGAAGAAAAAAAGAAAAAAGAATTTCCATGTCTTACCAAGGCGACTAAAGCAATATAAGTGATCCTCTTCATCAAGGTTGCAATTCCTTCGAGTGCAGTTCCCACATTGATCCATAAACCAGAAAAGCTCAAATCCATAAAGCAGGGCACTATGGAGTTGTGCAAATGAAAGGTTTGGGTGAAGTTCATTAACCCCCGGCAACGATGTCATAAAAATAAGGTCAATACTGCACAATTCCATCACACTTGATGCATTTAGGTACCCAATATGAGCATAAGAATGCCTCCTTGTAGTTGTAGAGGAGTTGGAAGAAGCAAAGAATTCTCCTCCTCCTCCTCCAATATTCAGACAAGGAGATAAGTCAACGTAGAGAGGAGAATCCAATGGATTTGGACAACTTAAAAAATGTATAGGCTTTGTTGTACTGTTCTCTGTGTATATGTATATATAAGGATCATCTAAAAAGCTGAAATTGTATGGGGTTAAAGAGTAACGAGGAAAGAAGGAGCAATTATGGTTATTGTGCAGTAGTACATGGGCATCGACTAGACGGATAGTGAAGTTGTGATAATTGATAGCTTGAACATAGTATTTATTGGAATGGAAAAAAGCTAGTGTAGAAAGATTGTTTTCACAAACCAGCTCATACTTGGTATCACCGCAATTGGGTGGATCGCCTTTTAATCGGAAAGGGTGGGTTATGTTATGGATATTGCCGCATGAAGAAGGTTCACACATAGCTTTTGAAATCTGAGGTAGCTGAAGGATGAGTAGTATAAGGGCTGCGAGACAAACTACAAGCCTTCCTCCAGACATGAGTGAGAGGGAGAGAGAGTTTTTCAACAGAATAATTAGTTACAAATTGTGCAGTGGGAAGCTGAACTCACAAGCCTCCTAGAAGTATACATCGGAAAAAGCCAGAGAGGGCCTTCTGAATTATTCACGTCCACACAAAAAGTCCCCCGTTAAATATAGTATTATTATGTGCGCATAATTTAAAAAGGCAGCACAAAAATAAAAATGGTGTGCAATAATATATTTTTGTTTTTTTATAATTGAAAATATTTTTTATTTTTGTGAAGAAAAAAGAAAACATAAAAAAGATATTTCTTATATTTTTGGCACTGTAGCAGCATAGAAACGTTTTTACTATTGTTACTACAAAGGTACTATTCATTTCAAATAAAATTCATATTATTTGTGTTATATACTAAGTTGCATATTAAATATTAATAAAAAATATATATTTTTAATATAGAATATATTAAATAATGTACATTATTTTCTATTTGATAAAAATATATTTTAATATATAATATATTAAATAATAACATAAATTATTTTTGACAAAACAACCGTTCCATGTTTTGAGAACCTATTGAAGTGTCTTATTTTCATTTTGTAACTTTTGATAATTTCAAAATATGAGAGCTCTTTTGAGAGAGCTCACCTATTTTCATTCACTTGCTATATTTTGAGTTTGAAAGACCATTTGAGAGTTATTATATTTAAGAATACATTTGAGAATCTCTCTTTGATAATGTCCCTTTATTGGAAAATAAAACGAGAAAACAAAATGGACTCAAATTCTTGTTTTTGGGTATATGGAATACACAACATTAATTGTTATTTTCTTTTATGAAAAACATATGATATAAACTTACAGATTTGTCAATTGAATCTCCAATGCAAAGTGTTATGTTTTTATGTCAAATCTATATTTTAAGAGGAACTATAGCGTAAAATTATTATATTTTTGTAATTATGCTTCAATGGTGCATTTCATTGAAAACGCTATTTTTTTACATGACAACCATTCCATATTTTAAGAGTCTGTTGGAGTGTCTTATTTTCATTTTAGCAACTTTCGACAATATCAAAATATGAGAGGTCTTTTGAGAAAACCCACTTATTTTAATCCACTTGTTATATTTTGAGTTTGAGAGGCCATTTGAGAACTGTTATATTTGAGAATACACTTGAGAATCTCAAAATATGAGAAATCTTTTGAGAAGTCATTGGAGTGCCTTATTTTTATCCACTTGCTATATTTTTAGTTTGAGAACCCATTTAAGAGGTCATTGGAAATGCTCTTAGAAGATATTGTGCGCTTGGGTGATTTTCATTCATGATTTCTACTGCACGGTCATATTTGGATTGGTTTAAATTGGTTAAGGTGAAATGGGAAACACAAGTGATCTGTCCTAATCATGGACAATAGATATTGCTGATATTGCTGATACAAATGTTATTTATAGTACTGTATTAAAAAGCCCTCCTTTAAAGTATTGAATTAGGTCTCAACTGTGCATGTTTTGATAATATCTCTCTTAGAAGCTTATATGAAGTAATTAAAATGATTTTATAATAATTTTGATTTTAAATAAAAAATTATTATAATTAAAATAAATTTTAGAGTGAAAAATGTTGAAATATGGAGGATTAAATTTTAGAGTGAGAAAAGTTAAAATGGAGAGAATTCAATTTAAATAAATTGAAAAATAAAGTATATGTAATTTGAAATCTCTAAGGTAAAATCCACACTTAGTTTTGATCTATTATAGATATCAATCATTTGATACATCTTTTATTTCTGAATCCCTCATAATGAATGGTTGAGGCCATTACAGATTTTTTTTGGCATAATATGTAGACGGTGAGTCAACTATGAAGATGTCCAGTTATGGACAGCGACAAATAGCTACCAAGTCCAAATCTATGGACCGGACCAAAAGCTAAAAAGCGTTTTAAAACAACTAAAATTAGTTTGTAGTTGACAAGTCAACAACGTTTAGTAGGACCAGCAATTATATGGCCAGAAGTCTTTGGTTGACAAGTCAAACTCTATAATAAAACAAAAAAAACAATTCAAGTGTGGGGTATTTTTTGATGTGAAACAATTCTTTTTCCATCTATTTATTTTTTACATGTTGGAGAAACAACAACCCCCTTCAATTAAGATCATTAATGAGAAAATTTATGAATGAAAAAAATCTGTTTTCCTCATTACACATTAATTTTTTGGTAAATAGTTAAGAACATTACAGACTTCTCAGATATTTACTTCAGTGAAAATTACCATTAATATATATATATATATATATATATATATATATATATTCCAAAACGACAAATAATGAAATTTATATATTGGTTTGTAGTATTTCTTTTCCAAACATTTATAATTTTCAATTTCATTATGAATAACGTTAAATGTTTTTATTTATTGAAAACGAAAACGTTAAATACTTTTTTTAATCAATCCATTGCCGTTAACAAAATTCTTCACTTTTTCTCACTTTTCTCTTTTTCTAAAATAAAAAAAGAATCTTATTTTGTTAAAAAAATAATATTGGCTAAAAATTGGAATTAGCTGGCTTAGGAGCCAAAGAGAAGCTGGCTAAAATAGAAGAGGTAGATGACTTGGTTATGGTCATGAAAAGGAGGGGGCAGAGAATTTGGAAAAGAAAAGAGATAATTTGACATATATATATATATATATATATATATATATATATAAAAGGGTTGAGAAGTTCGAAGACAATACGTTCACAATTATAAAATAACATACATATAGTATTAAAATAACAAACAGTTCAATAGAGGTGCAACTGCCCCCATTTATTTCAATGTGGTTCAGCCACAGGTCAAGCACTTATATCTAATGTGATGGAATCAATAGAATCACCCAATTGAATTGAATGCTCCGTATTGATTCCAGTATCTTCAGGCATCTCCTCTGGATAAAGAAAGGGCTTGGGAGGCATTTGCATGAGTTCACCATTTCCCTCCAGCATCTCCACAACTTTGGTCATTGAAGGACAATCGCTAGGCTTCATTTGTATGCACCACAATCCCACTATTATCATCGTTTCTACAACCTTCCTTTCCTCTTCATTGGCATCTCCTATTTCTATGTCCTTTCCTTCAATAATTTGGTCATATACCCACGAAGGGAAGTAAATTTGGCTTGAATGATCGGCAAATGCATTCAAATTCTTCCTTCTTCCCTCCATTTCCAGCAACAACATCCCAAAACTATACACATCAGCTTTGTATGAAACACCTCCGATGCTTTTATAGAACAATTCTGGAGCCATGTAACCCATTGTTCCTCTTGCCGCAGTCAGAGACACAATGCTATCATTTGTTGGGTACAATTTTGCAAGACCAAAATCAGAAACTTTTGGAGTGAAATTCTCAGCAAGGAGAATATTGTGAGGCTTGATGTCAAAATGTAAGTTTTGAATGTCACAACCCCGATGTAGATATTCAATCCCACGTGCCACTCCAACAGAAACCTCGTACATTTTCTCATAGCTCAAGGATAGTGTTTCTCCTTCTCTAGGAAAAATACACTTCTCAAGAGATCCATTAGGCATGAAATCATACACAAGTGCGCGCTTAGACCTCTCGGCACAATATCCAACAAGTTGGACCACATTAACATGGTGAATTCTTCCCATGGTAGCCACTTCATTGATGAATTCCTACCCATTAGCTTTAGGCTTACTCAATAGTTTGATTGCTAAAGGACTGCCACTTCTAAGCTTTCCTTTATACACAGAACCATAACCTCCTTCACCCAATTTGTCCTTGAAACCATTGGTCATCTTTTTAATTTGGGAGTAAGAGTACCTAATAGGAGTGAGGTTGTTCTGACTTTGTAAGTAATCTTCAATATCATCGAACGTTGATAAATGTCTTCTTCGTATTTTTTTGATTAAGACCGTCAATCCGAATGGAATTCCACATAAAATTCTCATTGCAACGTTTAATCCTGTGGAGGTATAGTACAAGATAATCATGACCAGACCTACTTATAGCTGTATTATTATTCTTTGCATAGAAGAAGAGACTGCTTTACATTACAGGCATTTTTAAAATCTATAATTTGCCCTGTTTCTTTGTATACATGACATTTTTCACATTTTTTTCTACTTTAAGTGTGTGTTTATATATATATTTTTAGTGTTGAAAGACACAGATTTTTACCAATGACAAGTGTCGCGGCCAGATAGCCCACTGCGGTAAAAAATGAAAAAAAGAAAAAGAAAAAAAGCAAGCAAACATGCAAAAAAAAGTGAGTAATATAAACGAACTGAAAATAATTGTGCCAAATGTACCTTGTAATCAAAAATCAACTGCTACCTGTTTGTTAAAGTCGTGGTTTTTATTTTTGACTGAGCTTTCATTTATGTGAAAATGGCGAATTTTGAAAAGTTGTGTAGTTGTCAAAATTAAATATGTTTGGTAATGTATATCTAGTGTTGAATTTTTAAAAAGAGAAAAGAGAAAATATGTTTGATAATTTTTATTTTTTATTTTTTAAATTGACTCTTTTATTTACTATTCAAGTATAATTGAAAAATAATAAAATACCATTTTTAATTTTACTATTTGAGTATAATAAAATATATTTTTTAATTTTATTTTTACTATTTAAGTATAATTGAAAAATAATAAAATAATATTTTATTTATTATTCGAGTATACTTGAAAATTAATAAAATAATAAATAACATTTTAAAATTTACTAGAATAATAAATACAATTTTAAAATTTACTATTCAAGTATAATAAAATATATATTTTAATTTTATTTACTATTAGTATAATTAAAAATTAATAAAACAAAAAAATAACATTTTTAATTTTATTATTCGAGTATAATAAAATATATATTTTAATTTTATTTACTATTGGAGTATAATTGAAAAAAATAAAATAATATTTCTCTAATTGTGAAAATTAATATAATAATATTTCTAATTCTAATTTTGAAAAAATAATATAATAATAGCATTTCAAACCAAAACTGAAAATAAAAGCTCGTGTTTGTAGAGTTGAGAATTGTGAAAGAAATATGAAGAACCCATCTCATTTTGTTACTTGTTTTAATTACCGCCCAAGCTTAACAGTTTACCAAGGCGTGGTCCATTACAATAGGCACCTCCATTAAATGTGATTTGCTGGGGAAATAATTCTTACCGTAATAAATAATAATTTCACGCAGCTGGTACAGAATACCTAAATTGTCCAGAAAAAAAAAAAAAAAATTACATATATGAATAAAATCTAAGATAACATAATCTTAGAAAATTACTGAAAATTTTATAAGATTAAATTGTCCATAAGAAAGAACACACATATAAGAAGAATCTAGTTATAACAATATACCCCTTCGCTAACTTTAGAAAACAAAATATATATCCTCTTGTTCTTTTTTATTTTTTAAGTCACATCGGTGTACTTTTAGAAAACAAAATTTCACGTACCACCAATTGACAATATACAAAACAAGAGCATATGTACATTCCCTTGTAATTTTATTCGGCAAACTAACCAATATATAAACAATAATGGCACATAGCAAATTTTTTTTTTTGATAAGTAATAATGGCATATAGCAATTAGAAAGTAACAAGAGTATTTTTCAACGTTACCTTAAAAAAAAAAAAAATAAAAGGAGTAGTTTTCAACCACATGCAACAAAGTGCAAGAAGTAACACAAGAAGAAAAAGCAATCAACACCTCTAAGTCAGGACAGAGCCATGAAATATGTTTTTTTTTATTACCATACATCACTATTTTTTATTTTCTTTTTCAATTATATACCTATAAAATTTTCACTTTGTCCCCCTAAAATTACAAATATATATATATATATATATATATATATATATATATATATATACTAAATTCATTTTTGCGTTCTTCCACAACTTTTTGAATCCGCCCCTGTTCAAAGTCGTCCCTCATGCATAATATACACGCGCGGGGGAGGGGGGCATAATTTTGGACATGGATGTCACATAAATTCGCGAGAGACCACAAATGAGGGTAGAATTATTCCCTTTCCAGTAAAGTGTGAGCTTCTATAACAGTTTTTTTTTCTCCTTGGGTAATTAAAAATTTTGTTGGCAAAATGAAGCTTCTAGAATAGTTGGTACTGAATATATGAAGAAGTCACAATAGCTATATAGTCTTCCAGTAAAGTGTGAGCTTCTATAACAGTTTTTTTCTTCTTGGGTAATTAAAAATTTTGTTGGCAAAATGAAGCTTCTAGAATAGTTGGTACTGAATATATAAAGAAGTCACAATAGCTATATAGTCGTGGTTTTTATTTCGGGGCATATGGAAAACCTTATAAATAAATAAATTTTAACTAACATAAGAACTTTAAGTTAAAATATAAAAAATAATTAAAAAACTATTCATTTCAAAAGAAAATTTGAAATATGGTACTTATTATTAGGTCACAATCGTGAGAATTAACAATCGTTTTAACTATGAGTACTAACTATATCCTAATCCACCCAAGAAGATAATTAAAATAAATCTATCCATGGGCGGTTAAGGTTCCGTTATACCAAATAATAATAATAATAATATATGTAAAGAATCTATCAAGGGCGCTTTTACTTTGCAAAGTGTAAGATTCTCTTATACCAAAATAATAATAATAATAATAATAATAATAATAAGATATATATAAAGAATCTATTTAGGGCGTTTTTACTTTGCAAAGTGTAAGATGGATGGTTGAAGTGCTCACATGGGCCATGAATATATAAGAATTAGATAAAATTTCTAATAAAAAGCCTTGTGATCTAATGATATTTTCTTTCCGTTTAAAATAAAAGGTAGAGGTGTTTGAATTCGGTTCAGCCATCGACCCACTTCAGGGTTGGCAAGGTCGGCCCCCTTTGATCACGGGCTTAAGTAAGGACATGCCACACTGTAGTCGATTTGGTGACTTTGTACTTGTCTAGATAAAGCCTGCCCCGTTGCTACGAAGCAAGTTTTAGGACAAAGAAAAAAGAAATCCCTAAAGCACATATACAAAAGGAAAAAAAATTGATGCAATGTTATGCAAATAATATATGTACATGTACATATGTATTTGTATATATGTGGGATCCAAGAAAATAGAGATAAATACATTTATAAAAATAATGTTTAAGTATTTAAATTTGGGTTTATGAGTTATATATGGAGAGAGAGATATTTTTGGGTGTAGTTGAGTAAAAATGTGGTCTCAGACTAACAATTTTGCGAATCACGAATAGAATTTTGTAAAAATTCAATAATATATATATATACGAAATAAGGAAGGAAAAAAAAAAAAAAAAATCAGGGGAGGTAATACACTTGCTAGCTCCGGCCTTGGTTACAACAGGCACACAAATATGACATGTTTGGTAATTAGTTTAAGTAGGAAGTTTTTATCTTTAAAAGTAGAAATAGGTGTTAAAATTTTGGAGTGAAGAAAATGGTGAATTAGAAGAAAAAAGAGAATTTGAAGCGAAGAAAATGGTGAATTAGAAGAAAAAAAGAAAAAAGAATTTCCATGTCTTACCATAGTCATAAGGATTATGGCAATGTAAGTGATCCTGTTGATCAAGGTTGCAATCCCTTCGAGTGCTGTTCCCACATTGATCCATAAACCAGAAAAGCTCAAATCCATAAAGCAGGGCACTCTGGAGTTGTGCAAATGAAAGGTTTCCGTGAACTTCATTAACCCCCGGCAACGTTGTCATAAAAATAAGGTCAATACTGCACAATTCCATCACACTTGATGCATTTAGGTACCCAATATGAGCATAAGAATGCCACCTCCTCCTTGTAGTTGTAGAGGAGTTGGAAGAAGCAAAGAATTCTCCAATATTCATACAAGGAGATAAGTCAACGTAGAGAGGAGAATCCAATGGATTCGGACAACTTAAAAAATTTATAGGCTTCCTTATACTGTTCTCTGGCTCTGGGTACTTGGGTCTCTATAAAGTGAGGTTCCCATGCGGTTTCTGCTGTAACTTTTAAGTGGTCTATATTTGGCCACATCATTCTTTAACTAACGGATACTAAGGTCGTGTTTGGCCAATTACACCACTATTTATAAGTAACGTCTCACCACCATTTATAAGTAACATCATAGTGTAAACTAAGTAATGTCACATATAAACATAACGCAATTCAATATATTACTTGCAATGAGGTTCCCATTTATAAGTAACATCACAATGCAAACTAAGTAATGTCACATATAAACATAACTTAATTCAATATATCATTTATGTATTCACTCAACTAAGAAAATTCAAATAAAATTAAGAAATCAATCAGGGTTAGAATAATTTTTAGCATTTCCACAAATAAATTAATCAAATTAAGCATATATTCAACAAATTATGAAATTACTTGTAGTGCTTGCATTTTCAAAAAATACAAGTAAATGCACAAAATATGGAGCAAGTAACTGCAGTGAAGCAAAGGTTGCTCCATCCACTAATATGGCATCTGCTGGTTTGCCTAAAAGTGAGAGTGCACACATTATGGCATCTACTACCTTGCCTGAAAGTGAGGGTGCACGGACTTCGGCATCTGCTTCTATACCTGAAGGCAGGAGCAGCCATGGTCGTAGCATTACTTCTTCCAGTGAGAGCCAAAGGATTTTATCAGCCACTCAGCATCTGTTGTTTCATTGTAGTAACACTACTGTAGAAAGGAGCAATGTGGATGTACGAGATGGGACAGATCCTAATAAAGCTTGACTTCTTCATTGTCATGTAATTTTTTTATTTTTATTTTTTATTTTTATTTTTTATTTTATTTGATAAATCTCGATTTGCAGCAAAATTGCCCCATATGGGTATTCTTGTGTATTGTAAAAGGAAAAAATGTAGTTGCATATGTTAGGTGGAATAGCTTCTTTGAAACCAGAGAGCCCGCAGTTTGTATAGTTTGTGTTGATATAGCTGAAAATTTGGAATCATTTCAGTTTTCATATTTACGTGTTACAAGAGCATTTATAGCATTGTATCGGGACTTGACTAGGGTTATGATGGTGAAATGTAAAAATATATATACATCTAAATATGCAACACCCAATTCAGCAAATTCAAGTTTTGGCCTAAATTTTAGACACTCAATTGAATTTTCTTAGTTGAGTGAATACATAAATGATATATTGAATTGAGTTATGTTTATATGTGACATTACTTAGTTTGCACTGTGATGTTACTTATAAATAGGAACCTCACTGCAGGTGATATATTGAATTGCGTTATGTTTATATGTGACATTACTTAGTTTGCACTGTGATGTTACTTATAAATGGTGGTGAAATGTTACTTATAAATAGTGGTGTAATTGGTCAAACACGACCTTAGTATCCGTTATTTGAAGAATGATGTGGCCAAATATGGACCACTTAAAAGTTACAGCAAGAAACCGCATGGGACCTCACTGCAGGTGATTCACGCCCCTCTATAAATGGTATAGGGGGGGTCTTTATAAAAGCTGAGATTGTATTGAGTCAAAGAGTAACGAGGAAAGGAAGAGCAATTATGGTTATTGGGCAGTAGTATATAAGCATCGACCAGACGGATAATGAAGTTGTGATAGTTGATAGCTTGAACATAGTATTTATTGGAATGGAAATAAGCTAGTGTAGAAATATTGTTTTCACAAACCAGCTCATACTTGGTATCACTGCAATTGGGTGGATCGCCTTTTAATCGGAAAGGGTGGGTTATGTTATGGATATTGCCACATGAAGAAGGTTCACACGTAGCTTTTGAAATCTGAGGTAGCTGAAGGATGAGTAGTATAAGGGCTGCAAGACAAACTACAAGCCTTCCTCCAGACATGAGTGAGAGGGAGAGAGAGTTTTTTAACAGAATAATTAGTTACAAATTGTGTAGTGGGAAGCTGAACTCACAAGCCTCCTAGAAGTATACATCGGAAAAAGCCAGAGAGGGCCTTCTGAATTATTCACGTCCACACAAAAAGTCCCCCGTTAAATATAATATTATTATGTACGCATAATTTAAAAAGGCAACACAAAAATAAAAATGGTGTTCAATAATATATTTTTGTTTTTCTATAATTGAAAATATTTTTTATTTTTTTGAAGAAAAAAGAAAACATAAAAAAGATATTTCTTATATTTTTGGCACTGTAACAGCGTAGAAACGTTTTTTACTATTGTTACTACAAAGATACTATTCATTTCAAATAAAATTCATATTATTTATGTTATATACTAAGTTGCATATTAAATATTAATAAAAAATATATATTTTTAATATAGAATATATTAAATATCGTACATTATTTTTTATTTGATAAAAATATATTTTAATATATAATATATTAAATAATAATATAAATTATTTTTGATAAAACAACCATTCCATGTTTTGAGAACCCATTGAAATGTCTTATTTTCATTTTGTAACTTTTGACAATTTCAAAATATGAGAGCTCTTTTGAGAGAGCCCACCTATTTTCATCCACTTACTATATTTTGAGTTTGAGATGCCATTTAAGAGCTGTTATATTTGAGAATACATTTGAGAATCTCTCTTTGATAATGTCCCTTTATTGGAAAATAAAACAAGAAAATGAAATGGACTCAAATTCTTGTTTTTGGGTATATAGAATACACAACATTAATTGTTATTTTCTTTTATGAAAAACATATGATATAAACTTACAGATTTGTCAATTGAATCTCCAATGCAAAGTACTATATTTTTATGTCAAATCTATATTTTGAGAGAAACTACAGCGTAAAAATGTTATATTTTTGTAATTCTGCTTCAATGGTGCATTTCATTGAAAATGCTATTTTTTTTACATAACAGCCATTCCATATTTTGCGAGTCTGTTGGAGTATCTTATTTTCATTTTAGCAACTTTTGACAATACCAAAATATGAGAGGTCTTTTGAGAAAGTCCACTTATTTTCATCCACTTGCTATATTTTGAGTTTAAGAGGCCATTTGAGAACTGCTATATTTGAGAATACATTTGAGAATCTCAAAATATGAGAAATCTTTTGAGAGGCCATTAGAATGCCTTATTTTCATCCACTTGTTATATTTTGAGTTTGAGAGTCCACTTAAGAGGTCTTGGAAATGCTCTTAGAAGATATTGTGCACTTGGGTGATTTTCATTCATGATTTCTACTGCACAGTCATATTTGGATTGGTTTAAATTTGTTAAGGTAAAATGGGAAACACAAGTGATCTGTCCTAATCATGGACAATAGATATTGTTGATATTGCTGATACAAATGTTATTTATAGTAAAGTATTGAATTAGGTCTCAATTGTGCATGTCTTGATAATATCTCTCTTAGAAGCTTATATGAAGTAATTAAAATAATTTTATAATAATTTTGATTTCAAATAAAAAAAATTTCACGCACCAAAAATTAGAGATCCAACACAGCTTACATGGTTAATGGTTCTTACTCCTGGGGGTGGCAAAATGGGTCACGACCCATTAACTCGTTTATATCCGCCCATTTTAAAATAGATATGGGTGAATCATTTTAAAATATGGGTCAAAATAGGTGACTCATATTCAACCTATTTTTATAGAGGGTTAAATAGGTTGAATACGAGTCACCCATTTTGACCCATATTTTACCCTTTATATAAGAGACTCAGTTTTACTTCCTTTATTTGACTCAAATTCCCCTCTTCTTCCTCTCTAAAATTCTCTCACATGATTCTAAATTCTCTTCCTCTCTCTCTCTAAAATCCTTTCTCTAAGATTTTCTCTGCATCATCCTCTTTCTTTCTTTAAAATTACTATAGTATTGCTCTGCTACATTCACAACTGAAAACTCGGACATGAAACATTTCTTATATTTCTTCTACCCATTTTGATATAAAATTGGGAGAAAATTTATGGCATATTGGCAATTAAAAACTTTCTACTGCAATTGGTGCTTGTAGACATGAAAACTAATTAATTCAACAAGGCAGAGCCAATTAAGGCCTAGGGGGTACGTGTCCCCCTAGCCCCGCCCAATAAAATATATATAGTTAATTTGTAACTTTTTTTAGTATATATATGAAAAATTATTTTTATATAATAATTTTAATTTCTAAAATTATTTTTAACTTTTTTTTTTCTTTAATTTTTTTTTTTAAAAAAAGTCAAATTTCTCTTTTTAAAGCATACTCTAATTTTTTTTTTTCTTTTAAATATATCACAAGTTTCTTTCCTTTTTCTTTTTAAAATTCTTCATTTTGCATGTTATATCGATGTTAAGTGATATATATATATATATATATATATATATATATATATATATATATATTTTAAACTATGCTCCCTCTGAATTAAAATCGTGGCTCCGCTCCTATCAATAATTGTATCTGTTTTTTTGAAATGGACAAAAGTTTTATTATGATTTTATTTATTTCATGAACATAATGAAATAATTATTTTATTATCTTCTACACTTGTATCATCAATAGCAATGCTATTAATTAGAGGTGAGGTTGTCTATTTATCATTTCATTTGTTACTAGCTAATACCAGGGACTGTGGACTATTGAAAAGGTTTTAAACTCTGGTTTGTTCACGTGCAGGTTCAGTCTTAGGCTCCTTTTTTCTCGTGGTGGTTGCAATTCTACTCTATCGTTTCCATACCATGAATAAAATGGAGAAAGAGAACTAAGTAAAGATTGAAAAGTTTTTGGAGGACTATAGAGCTCTCAAGCCTACAAGATACTCTTATGCTGATATTAAGAAGATCACAAATCAATTTGAGGAAAAACTGGGACAAGGAGGTTACGGAACTGTATTCAAAGGAAAACTTTCCAATGAAATTCTTGTTGCTGTTAAGCTCCTCGACAATTCCACAGGGAAAGGGGAAGATTTCATTAATGAAGTGGGAACAATAGGTAGAATCCACCACGTCAATGTTGTTCGCCTGGTGGGGTTCTGTGCTGATGGATTCAAACGAGTTTTTGTTTATGAGTTCTTACCAAATGATTCATTACAGAAGTTCTTGTTTACTGAAAACCACAAAAAACATTCATTTGGTTTGGAGAAGCTGCAAGATATTGCTCTGGAAATTGCCAAGGGAATTGAATATCTTCACCAAGGGTGCAATCAACGAATACTTCATTTTGATATAAAGCCTCACAATATCTTGCTAGACCACAACTTCAATCCAAAGGTCTCAGATTTTGGCCTAGCAAAGTTGTGTTCCAAGGAACAAAGTACAGTGTCTATGACTGCGGCCAGAGGGACCATAGTGTCACGAGCTTAAAGTTTCAGCACCACTCTAGCTACTCCAGTGCGGTACCAAGACGTTGCTTCCACTCTCGTAAGGACTTGGTCAGCCTAACTCCTATGACACCTTAGCCAACACACTCCACTCGTGTGCTTACTAGTGTTGTAGTGGCCCTCGCCCTCTCCTCACTTCGCTTGCACACTCACACACATTAAGGCACTTAAGTTGGCAAGGAAAGAACACTTCTATTACTTCAAAGAATGCTTTGTACAAGGCTAGCACTCAAACACTCTACAAGGCTCTTAAGACTCACTCTAGGACTTGTTGTCTACAAAATGAAGTCCTACCTCTATTTATAAGCATCCTCATCCCTAATGGACGGCTAGGATGCATTTTAACCGATGGTGGAGATCGATTCTCTAGAATCTTCTCCTAACTTCTTCACACTTCAATACTTATCCATAAATATCTACAACATTCTAGAACTCTCCATACTACTCCACACAACTCTGGAGAACTGTAGAACCTTCCACACACTTCTACACATTTCTACACATATCTAAAATCTTCCACACAACTCTAGACTACTCCGGAAGACTTTAGAAACTCCCATGTCATGCAGTCGCCATGCAGCGTCCTCCTCAGCTTCTGCGTGTCTCCTGCGTGGCACAACCTCCATAGGCGGGGCGTGACATTCTCCCCCACCTATTTCCGTGACGCCCTCGTCATGGTTTTTTCAGCTAACCCAACTTCTCACGGGTCATCAGCACTTATGCATATGTCCTTGGCCCAAATGTACGCCCGCCCTTCGGGAGATGTGGGGTCCTTACGAGCTCCATCGTGTTAATTGCCACCTCTGGACTCTCATTCCTGCCCACGAGCGGCACCATGAATGCGGCCTTGCCTTCCTCGCCTCCAAGTATCATCAACGCACCAAGGCATGGTAGTGGCGCGGCGTTGTTCCTGTCCATGAACTCCAGCCCCAGCATCATGTCGTGGTCGTCCATCTCCGCAACCTGGAAGTCGGCCTTGCCCTTCCATCCTTGTATACATAGTTCCACCTCCTTGCACACTCTACTCACGCGTGCCTCCTCGGAGTTGATAGCTTTGATCCAGCCCTCCGTCTTGCGCATCTCCAAGCCAAGTCATTGCGCCTCCTCCGGGGTAATGAAGTTGTGTGTGGCGCCCGTGTCCACCAACGCTTGCACAGCTTTGCCACCAACCTGCGCATCCACATAGCGCACCCCAACTACCTTCTTCACCTTGCCCTTCTTCTTGGTGTCATGCGCTATGCTACTCAGCATCTGCATAGCCCCCATACACCTGTCTTTGTCGCTGCCCGCATCGTCCACCTTGCCCTTACCCTTATCCTTCACAAGGGCGCTCATGGTCTTCTTGTTGGGGCAGTGTCGCAATATGTGCGGCCCTTCGCACAAGTAGCACTTCTGCTCCCACTTGCCCTTATCGCGGCGCTCCCCTTTGCCACTAGCCTTGGACCTCTCTCCATGGTCCTTGCCCTTATCATGGCGTAGGCGTCTCTCCTCATCGCTGTGCTCATCATCATTTGACTTGGGCGAGCCTTCTTTCTTGAAGCGCCGGTCTCCCCCACCTTTGCCGTGGTCCCTCCTTGGAGACGTGGCCCTCTTGTTATCGCGCCTAAAGTCTTCAAGGCACTCCGCTATAGCCATTGAGGATACCAAGTCTCTAGGCTTCCTCATTCTCAGCTCTGTGGCTACCCAAGACTGCAACCCATCAATGAACAAGCACATGCGTTGCCGCTCCGGCATCTCTGGGATCTCTAGCATCAAGTTGGAGTACTCCTTCACATACTCCCTTATGCTGCCCTTCTGCTTCAAGTGCCTTAGGTTGATCATGGCGAGGTCCTCGATGTACTCAGGGTAGAACTGCCTCTTGAGCTGCCTCTTGAACTCCTCCTATGTGTCAACTGCTCTTGCGCCTCTACCGGTGAAGCGCTGCCTCCACCATAGAGCGGCAGTGTCCGTGAGGTACATAGTGCCTGTCTGCACCTTCTCCTCATCATCCTCGATTTCCATGCACTCGAAGTATTGCTCCATGTGCCAGAAAAAGTTGTCAATCTGGCGCGCATTCCTTACCCCATCATACTCCTTGGGCTTTGGCACCTTCTTCTTCTTTGGTTTCACCACGACCTCGCGCTCCTGGGAGAACTCCTTCTTGCACTTGGCAATCTCCACGCGCAAGTCGTCTACCCGATCATACAAGTCCCTTTCCTTCTCTTGTGCCTTGTTGGCGATGCCATCAATCAGCTCGTAGAGCTCCGCCATCCTTTTCTCGAGCCTGTTAAACTTGGTCTCCGTGTAGACCAAGTGTGTGGCAAGCTTCTCCTCCAAGACGTAGACTTAGTGGTCTCCTCCGCTAGCCATGTCTACTCCAATAAAGCTCCCTTGACGAATCTGTTCTGATACCAACTGTCACGGGCTTAGAGTTTCAGCACCACTCTAGCTACTCCCGTGCGATACCAAGACGTTGTTTCCACTCTCGCAAGGACTTGGTCAGCCTAACTCCCGTGCACACCTTAGCCAACACACTCCCCTCGTGCGCTTACTAGTGTTGTAGTGGCCCTCGCCCTCTCCTCACTTGGCTTGCACACTCACACACACTAAGGCACTTAAGTTGGCAAGGAAAGAACACTTCTATTACTTCAAAGAATGCTTTGTACAAGGCTAGCACTCAAACTCTCTACAAGGCTCTCAAGACTCACTCTAGGATTTGTTGTTTACAAAATGAAGTCCTACCTCTATTTATAGGCATCCCCATCCCTAATGGACGGCTAGGATGCATTTTAACCGATGGTGGAGATCAATTCTCTAGAATCTTCTCCTACCTTCTTCACACTTCCATACTTATCCATAAATATCTACAACATTCTAGAACTCTCCATACTACTCCACACAACTCTAGAGAACTCTAGAACCTTCCACACACTTCTACACATTTCTAAACATATCTAGAATTTTTCACACAACTCTAGACTACTCTGGAAGACTCTAGAAACTCCCATACCATGCAGTCACCATGCAGCGTCCTCCTCAGCGTCTGCGTGTCGCCTGCGTGGCACAACCTCCGTAGGCGGGGCGTGACAATAGGCTATATTGCACCCGAAGTTTTTTCTAGGAATTTTGGAAATGTGTCGTATAAATCGGATGTTTATAGCTTTGGGATGTTGCTACTTGATATGGTGGGTGTGAGGAAGAAGGGTGATGTTACAGTAGAGGAAACTAGCCAAACATACTTCCCACAATGGAATTATAATTGCTTGCGTGAAGGAGAAGAGCTAGGGATGCACATTGAAGAAGAGGAAGATGCCAAGATAGTAAAGAAATTAACTATTGTTGGGTTGTGGTGCATTCAGTGGTACCCCGTGGATCGCCCTGCCATGAACACTGTAGTACAAATGCTGGAAGGGGAAGGAGATGGTCTGACCATGCCCCCAAGTCCTTTTGCTTCAACAGCTCAAATGAATAAAACAACCATGCCTGCAAAAGCTTTTAATAGAGAGTTAGAAGTTATTTATAAAGCCGAGTTAATTTGATATGTTTACGATGCTATTAGTATTTATGATGGGTAGGTACCATGTATTGTGTGTACTCATTCATAAGTGAAATGGCAACCCCATTGCCATTTAAGGAGATTTGGAATAATTTGTTCTGTAATGATTTCGTGTTTCTTTTTAGCTAGTTATGCTTCAATTTCTTTTCATTCTTTCAAATGATTTATTAAGCGGTCTTTATTACATATATAAGGAAAATAAAGAAGGCATGCTAGCAATTTCTAAGCTGATTTTCTTGATTATGGGGATCAAAGTCTGTCATTTGATAATGACCCTTTATAGGAAAATAAAGCAGGAAACAGAAAGGACTCAAATTCTTGTTTTTGGGTATATGGAATAGACGACATTAATTGTTATTTTCTTTTATGAAAGACATATGATATAAGCTTATAGTTTTGTCAATTGAATCTTCAATGCAAAATGGTATATTTTCATGTCAAATCTATATTTTGAGAGAAACTAAAGTGTAAAAATGTTATATTTTTGTAATTCTGCTTTAACGGTGCATTTCATTCAAAATGTTATTTTTTAACACAACAACCAGTTCATATTTTGAGAGCCTATTGAAGTGTCTTATTTTCATTTTAGCAACTTTTGTCAATCTCAAAATATGAGAGATCTTTTGAGAGAGCCCACCTATTTTCATCCACTTGCTATATTTTGAGTTTGAGAGGCCATTTGACAGCTGCTATATTTTATACTACCTCCGTCCCACAATAGAGGTCCATATTTAGAAATTGGAGTTTTTAGGGAAACATGCAATTAATGCATTGTCCCATTTTAAAATTACTAAATTGTGATTTTTAATTTAAATATATATAGTTATAAAGTTTGAAATTTTTGAAAAAGATAAAGGACAATGATGATATAAGAGAAAAATGTTTTGACTTTTCAAAGAGGACAATTAATTTGGGACATATAAAAATGAAATAATGGATTATTAATATGGGACGGATAGAGTAATACATTTAAGAATCTCAAAATATAAGAAGTCTTTTGAGAGGTCAGGAGTATCTTATTTTTATCCAATTGCTATATTTTGAATTTGAGAACCCATTTGAGACGCAATTGAAAATGCTGAGATTGTGCACTAGGGTGATTTTGCATTCATGATTTCTACTGCACAGTCATATTTGGATTGGTTTAAATTTGTTAAGGTGAAATGGGAAACACCACAAGTGATCTGTACTAATCATGGACAATAGATATTGCTGATATGTGGAGATGGGGAAGGCATGTCGCTTCCAGTTTCTGGCAGTGAAAATTATTGAAAATAGTCTTGGCACAAATACTTGGACTAGCAAATTCTTATTCATTTCTTTTGAAAATTATGAAACCAAATTAGAATATTAAATCATGCATTCAAGAATGAAAGCACAGAATGTTCAACGGTCCAGAAATTATATACTCCGTTACAAGTCTTTGTGAAGCGATAAAATGACATTAG